GGGAAATATCTTAAATGCTGTTGGTACATTGTGTCTTTTAGTATGCTATTTTGTAACTCTCCCCAAGGACGGTTTTGCACTGTATATATACGTTTTGAATTGTGTTTGTTGGTATCGCTCGTGCTTCTGGTTTTTGCAGAATATGCTTCCCCATTCCAAGCTTTGGCTTCTTCCTCTAGTTAGCGGGGCTGGAACGCATCAATAGCTAGATTATTGGTCTTTGGTCACCAAGTCTTGTTCTCGTTCGCACATTAAGTGAACTCGTGATAGCTTTAAACCTAGCAATTCTGTATTGAAAAGCAAACAATTCAATTAATCATTTTTCTTTCCTTTTATAACTCCATCTTTCTTTTATCTGTAATGTTTGATTTTTCTTGAATTAATCAATATTCTTATATTAAACCTCAAAGAAAAATATTTACACTACTTTTCACTATCTACTGTTTACAACTTAATATATACTTTTGATTTTCTTCATTGTAAAAAAAGAACAATTTTGTGGTTGCCATGCACATTTAACTAACAGCATCGATGTACAACATTTTTTTTCCTAATAATAACAAATTTCAGTATTTGTACTAAAGTAAACAAAACAACACGAAACAGATCTATAACTTTCTAAAACAAACATTTAGGTAGTAGATCAATAATGATACATCTAAACTGTACAAAATAAACTTGAAAATAATAGGTAATAGGAAATTTATTATTAAAGAAAAAAACTGCTGTAGGTATATTGTATTGAGTGCATGAATAGAATTCTATAGTTTCTGTTAAAGTGAATACAAAAGTTTAATACATAAAATAAACATTTACACAGAACAGAATAATTTCAATGAACCATAAGACCTCTATTGTAATGATATTTTATTCTGAGAATTACTGACCGTTCAAAAAAAAATTATTTTAAACCATTTAAAACAATATCGAGGCAATACTCACAGTATGTACATATGCCAATAAGAGACTGATCAATTGCAGTCTTAAATATCAATGCAAAGATTCAAGTAAACAATATTAAGTAAATTTAAACTTCACCCTATAGCACAAGCAAGTGGCTATCAGGACTCAGTAGCTAAGTGGATAATGTGATGATATTTTAAGCGAACGGTACTGGGTTCGAGTCCGGGGGTGAACATCAACACTGAGATGCAGGCACATCCAGCTGACGAGTCCCAAACAGGATGAAACGCGCGTCCTGGATTCCACTGCTAGCCACTATCCATCTTTTCTTATAATGTTTGTATATTAATGCAATATCAAGGCAATACGCACGGCATGCACATATGCCAATAAGAGACTGATCAATTGCAGTCCTAAACATCAATTGAAAGCTTCTAGTAAACAATATCAAGTGTATTTATATATAATTTTTTATTACTGGAAACAACACTACCGAAGACTACTGAATTCAAAGATTTAGATTTCTTTATGCATATAACATTTTAAATGTTTGATATTTATGATTCATATTTGTTTAGCAAATGTACAATATTTTTTTGTTTAGCATTTCCGTCAAGAAACTTCTATGGTGTTCTAGTTGTTTAGATGGATTTATACTTATAAAATTTGAGTAATGTTAACATTCGAAAAGGTCAACTACATTTGAAGATATTGTATTTAAAGTAATATTAAATTGTAGAGTTTCAGTTTGAAATAGGAGTTAGTGTAATGGATTAAATAATATTTGGGAATTTTTTTATTTATGTTTGAAACATTAAATATGAAAAAGAACAGAAAATGATTTTCTATTTTCAACCTTAGGAAAAATGGATATTTCATAAATATTAGAATGTATTTCAACAATGAACATAAACATTTAACCATAAACACCCAAATGCTCTCGTACGGCCGAGAGTGGGTAGAGTCAGCTCTTTCTCTAAATGCTCTCACATGGCCATGCGTATACAGTCACTACCAGTGAAGTTCTACTCATTGCCTTCTAGCGACGTGTGTGTTGTTCACGAAATCGAGACGACAAAAAGGGAATGTTCAGCGCTTTATCCGGGTTGATGGACACAGAGAGTCCACCTAGGGGAGTTGGAAAACCTTGATTGCAAACCGATGATGCGAATGGGTTACAGGATCCTGAGGAAACAAATGGTGTATGAACCTATTGTTGGTCACCGGCTACTACGGAAATGGATCTCCTGACGTTGCTCTCCGGCCTGGTGGATTAGACCTTTAGGTCAAAGGCTCCGGGTGTGGTTCCCTAAGAAAACCACCTGCTTTGGTATGGGCACCCGAGTAGTATCACAGCCTTCATACAAATCGAATGATTTATGTGGCGCATATCTGTTTGGTGCCTCTTTGTATTCATGTTTATGTGTTTAAATAATAATGACTAAGTATGCAGAACAAAAATTCAACTTTTATTTCGAACAAGTAACACAATTTTTCTAGGAATTAAAAAAGTATTTTAATCTGAAGTTATATTTTCAATGATACAATTTTTACAAGAAAAATGTTAATTTAGAGTAGAATACTGAAATTGAGCTGTGTAATATCCCATAGCAAGTATGATCGATTCAAAATAAGAATTTTCTGAACGCATCAAAGTTTCAAATCAACTAAAAAGTCATATTATCTCAAAACGAATGAGTAATTTTGCTGTTCAGAGTAATTGTGTGAAATGGATTGTTGAAACTATGAGGTAAGTTTTTTTTCCCTCATGGTCATAAGCATATTGATATAAAGCTTCATCAATATGAAGTGGAATAGATTACATGAATTTATGTTATGCGGCCGATATACATAAAGTGGATGAGAGCTTTAAATTTCAACATATACTAATATGAACTTAAGCTGAAGTTTGAAATCTAAATGAACTTCAAACTAAATACAATTTAATACTATCAATAATGATGAACTCCCAATGTCAGAGATTATATCTAGGCCTTATTAAAAATTATTATTATTTAGAAATATCTGGAACATCTCATTCACACCTAAGTGAGTCTGAATAACAAGTAGTAGTAGTAGTGTAGTGAACAAGAACACGGGTGGGACAATCGAATGTATTTAACACAAAATTACAGAGCATCTCAATAAAATCTGAGAACTATGTATTAAATCGTTAATTTGCAAAATGTCCACCAGTTCTCTCAAAATGCTTCAGACTTCATTGTTCTTACATTTTTATACAAATTGCATTCTATTCCAGCTCTTGCTTGCTTCATCTTCCTCCATCTTCTGCCTCCAGACATTGCATTCCTGACTGGCGTCATATACTACTTATATCAATATAAGTGGCATGCACCACAGTAGTAGTAGTAGCAAGAAATGTTTAAAAAAATTAAATGTCCTTTTTGCATCATAAGTCAGAGATATTGTAGGATTATAATTTGAAAGTAACAACAATATCGAATTATAACAATGAAAAAATAAAGCGATCTAATATAAACCCTTTCAGAATCCGATTTTCAGTAAAATTTATCATTTTTTAAAAATAAAAAGATGAATCTATTCATTGAAAGTTATAGACAATTACAACATGAGTATTACTGTTATTTAGAAGGATATCGTTGATATCTGCAGTGTTTTAATTTATATCAATAAAAATAATCACTTGCATCTTGATAGACGTTATTTATTCTTGAAAACTGAAGAACATTCCATTGATTATAAGATGGTGGCTAGTCAGTTCAAAACATTTCATTCTTATCAAAAATCAGTAGCAGCTCAATTAGTTTAGTAGTATAATTTGTTATTGTAGAATTGATAGATGTGAGTTTAAATCTTTAAGATAAGATCAATGTTTATGATCCAGAATTATATTAGTAATGATGAAGTGTTTTTCTTCTCAATGAATTACTAATGAACACATCCACGTCAAAACGAAAATCAATAATATTTGAAGGGGATATACAATTTTCCAATCTAAATTAAATCTTTTATTGATACTATGCAATATCAGAGTTTCAAATTTTTATCATGAGTATTTGTTTTTGGTGAAAAGTAGACTTTAAGCTTCGGAATTCATTTGTAATTATGGCATTTCCAACTAGACCTTTTGAAATCAAGTAAGCGAACCAATTAACATTCCTAAGAATACACTGATTACTTAAGAAAAAAATAGCTTCCAGTTGAAATGTGTTTGCATTTCACTACTATAGACCAGGAAGTACTGAACAACTATGAAATTTGGAGTGCTTACCACTAAAAAGTTTTAACCTAGAACGAAACAATTGGGATTCGCTTAATTTCACTATATGATGAACACCTTTTAAAATAATGTTAAATCTATCGTTTGTATTACGAATTCATTAAACTATCTAGTTCATATGGAAAAAATTATTCTTGACTATTTTTTATAGCTTTTTTGTTACTCTTTTAATATAAACTAACACCTTGAATACCAGGTTATTGGTAAATTTATCTTTTATCCTTCTATTCGTTTGTTCGATGGAAATTTTGCCTAGAAACAAGAATTTAATGAAAATGGCATATATATATATATATTTAAAATTTAGCTATTTATCATTATTCTATTATTATTATAATATAAAAATAACTAAGACAAACAAGAAATAACAAAAGGAACATAAACATGAACATAGAAGGGAAAAATAGCCAAGAAAAAAATTATATAAAAAAAAGGTGAATAATATTGACCAATCAGTTCATTTTTACTGGTTCTACATAAAATCAATAATGAACCAATAAAATCTAAAGTAGGAAAAAAAGTCAACATTATTAATTTCAGTTTATTTATTTTAAAAGAATATACCTTTACACAGTGTTGATCATTAATATCAATGATATATGTTATATATATATATAAATAGAATATTAACTGTACAAATGATTATTCCTTTCAAATTTAGCCATATATCAATATGATTATAATTGGAAATTTATTTGATTGATACCATAGTTACAATCATTGTTTGTTATAATAAGTAGTATATAATATTTTAATCAAAACATCTAGTTCAAATCAATTAAAAACAATGTCAGTTATTAATTCATTGTGAAAACTAATATTATTAATACAAACAATGAGTCAACAACCTGTAAGTTGTATTTATTTAATCTAAAATGTTTGTATTATACAAATTTTGTTAATGAATAGTAAGACCTTAGTGATTGAAACGGTTTAACTTGTTTAAAATAGGGAATATTAGAGTATTTTCTTACTTATTAAGTTGAAAATATTGTTGATTAATTATAATTTGAAATATTCCCATATTGTAAATTTAGAACAACACATATAAGCAAACAATATTGTTTTCGATTAGATCCTCATCAGGCTTTACTCTAACATACAGTAATATTTATATGCATATACGAAATTATTAAACCAATCAAGGTAGTTTATAAGTCAATGATAACAATGAAAACGATTACGTAATAAGTGAAAAGTGCAAAGTACAAATTGATGGTGTGACAACAGGTGCATTAGTTTTTGATAAGAATAATAAAGGCTTAAATCAATATTACATAATTGGAAATAAGTCAATGATTAGAAAAATATAGATAGTGAGATATAATGTTCGCTGATATATGTTGTTCTAGATTAATTATAAAGCTAACACAGTATCAATTACATTCATATTTCATTTGTAGGTATCAATGCCAAGGTTGAAACTTGATAGTTTTAAATAAATGAAATATTGAGTAGAAAGTTAATAATCAATATATTTTTTTATATCCCAAACAGTAAACAATTTTTTTATTTTTGACATTTCGTGACTTAATGTACGCTGCTTCCTTAGAATAACTAAACAACTCGGTCAAATAATTCAGTTATTTATTTAATCTGAAGAAATGGTTTACATTATGTCACGAAATGTCAGCAATACATTTTTTTTACTGTTTGGGATATAACAAAGAAATATATTAATTATCATATTTCATCTGGTTATAAATAAACTCTCACTATTAGGAAGATATATTTGGGCATAGAATATTCTTTTCAGATTCTACAATTACTAGTTCGAATACTTGATTCAAGAAGATAGCCAAGTTCAAAGCAAATGTATCTGTCGAAAGATAGAATTGTTTCCAAAACAACTTCGTTAGTAATACGATTACTATTGCATAATATGTACGTGTTCCAAATTGTAGGTCATTCGGAAGTGTAATATTAACTATTGAATCAAATATAAATAGTTGGAGATGAAAGAGATAAAATGTTTGATCATAGATTGTGTAAAGTATGAAGTGAAATGAAATGAAATAACGAATAGTAATAATGAACGAATGTTAAATCGAACCGTCACCTAAACAAAAAATCATTAATAAGTTGAATCAGATCAATTCATTTAAATATAGTTAAAGATAGAATGTATACATTTAACATAGATACTAACTAGATTTGAAGTTAACCAATGGTAAAATATGTGTAGATCTGAGGTTTTCAGATGCAAAGCATCATTTTTGATTAATGAACTTAGTAAATGGTATTGTATTCCTATTATTATATAACGTAATGATGTAGCCAATTAGAGAAAAGAACTATCGATCAGACCAACGACACATAAAGCCGTATGAGCGGTTTAGTGTCCTTATCGGTTCTGTTTCCTGCTTAGCCCTGTCTGTTAAGTCCAGAACACAAATCTCAGACTCTGCGATATGAATCATTTATTTCAAAAATAATGGGTCTATATACAAACCAAACAGACTACATCGTACCATAAATCAGGAAAAAACATTTGTACAAGGTTTACCCAAATGTGGCTGTGAATAAGGGAGATAGTAATTGATAGATTGGGTATAACTCAAGAATGGTAAACCGTATAATAATAATTCATAGGTCGAAATAAAGCTTGTGATAAGAAAAACACCAATATGAATAGTTTAGTTATTTAACAATTGGACAATTTAAAGATCAATGTTTAGTATAAGTCCAGAAATAGATTCCATCAGTTACCATTCATTATTCTCATTGAGATATAACAATAAACAAAATGAAATCTTAATTTGAATACTAAATAAATCTGATTGTACATATAAATAATTATGTATAAGAAACTAAAGAGAATTAATTAATGAATGAATTAATTATTTTACGACTTGTTAATTAACCATTTTCAATTACTGATTATTAATGTTAACAAATGTAATGGGTAATAAGTTTATTGATTTAATATTAAACTCTTTTATTTTACCTTATCATGTATTTGCATCATTTGTTTTATCGATTTTTTGTAAATTATTTTTATTATTTATGATTTATTTTAATGAGAATCTCTTCATTCTACATAATGTTTGATAATAATGATTCAGTAAAGGAAATAATTGTTCAAATTTCCTATCGGGTCGTGCAACCAGATAGAATGCAAATGAATTTAAGTTGAAATCATTTGATTGATTCCTACTTGTTTGAATATGCGAGCCTGACAGGTCTTGGGTTCGAATCTCGCGATGCGGGATCGTGGATGCGCACTGCTGAGGATTCCTATACTAGGACGAAACGGCCGTCCAGTGCTTCTAGGTTTTCCATTGTGGTCTAGCTTCAATTGACTCATGATTTCAACTATTGAAATATAAAATGTGTTAAATTCTATTAATGTATTTGAAGTAATAATTCGTAAAGAGAAATTATGTTTGTTAATTCGAAGGTGTTTAAGCTAAGACAAATGTGAAGCGTTGTCAAATGTTCTAAAACTAAAGTGTGATACATACTAGTTGACAACATTATAGTGGTGTTTTGTCCACCCTTCTTGGCCATTATGAAAAAAATAATAAATTTTTTAAAACTAAATAAACACATTCGCGAGTAATCTAAGCAGTGATGGATAGTGGTTAACAGTGAAATCCAGGACATGGGTTTCGTCTTATTAGTGATTTGTCAGCTGGACGTACTTGGGTTCTATAAGTAATATTCACTCTGAGACACGAATTCACTACCGTTCGCTGGAAAAGCTATAGCATTATTCATTTATCTAATGAGTTCAGGTAACCACTTGTTTGTTTAGTGGAGTGTAGTTTAATTACTTCGAGTCCCGGAGTGGACATCAACCCTGGAATCCAACTAAATGCAGCTGATAAGAGCCGGATAGAACGAGCCACCATCCATTCCTGCGTAAAATTGTTTGTGACTTAACGACAATCCACACAAGAAACTGATCATTCGTTGTCCTAAACATCAATGGGAAGATTCACACAACCAATATAAATGAATTAAAATAACCCATTCATTCAGTGGTTATTAAATAGAGTTATTTAACTAGATGGTTGCGATTACTCAGCAAGAAGCCCTACTCACTACTCCTTACTATCTAACACGATTTTGAGTCTTTTACATGGGTGATCACGTCGCAACTTGATCAACAGAATCCCATCAAGATTAATGGACTAGATAGATATAACATTGGCCAATGCTCAACCAGTCGACTATAAATGGAGTTGTTATTCCTTTTTTTCGTTTATTTATCATGCTAGTAATAGTTCTTGTGATTTTTATCTTTATATAGTTTTAAATGAATTTCTCTAAAACCAGTTCAAATACGATGGATGTAAATAATTAGTGTTACTTAATCATAAATGATAGATTAAATAAGGAGAGAATTAAAAAACGATAAAAGACTTTAATAAATTCTGACTAGTGTTGGAGAAGGATAGTAGAAAGTTACGGGTGGCCAAACCAAAACGTGGTATCAGTCCATTAATTCACTAACTTCTGATCCGAGCCATGTTGGTAAATGTAGACTAATCGGTTGGGGTCCGTGCAACTACCGTAACCAGTGACTGGAGTCTCTGAACGACATGGCTCAGAATCAATCTCAGTGGCGCAGGTGTATACACTATCTGTTTTCCCTTAAATTACGAGATTAAAATTACTCTATATTTTTCTTTCTACGAATTAATTCTTTCTTTCTTTATCATATTGTTGTGTGCAATTTTTTGTATATTACTACTATTGATGTAACGGTTTCTATAAATTTGGTGTTAATCTTGTCGTGCTAATGAAGTGTGGCAACTTGGACCAATGCATATTTGTGCCAGATCCTACGTTGTGAATGACTGACTGACTGAAATAGATAAGAACCGATAGTTTTAATTTGTAGTATGGTGAATCTTCGTAGATACTATTCACTTGATTACTGGTTTAATATCTGAATAAAAAAATCATTCAACTGTCTGATCTGAAGTGTATACAACCCTCAAATGTAATACATAACTAATTATGAATTGTTTTTAAAAAATTTATATTTTAATAAAAAAAACGAGCAAAAATTGACGCAAACGAAAAGGTAAGAAAAGATAAGAGATGAGCATAAAATAGGAAATAACCAAATAACTGATAAACGAAACACGCTCAATTATTGTCTCGTAGACGTTCGATTTTAAAGTCATTTGCATCATTCATAGCCTACTGTATTTTTCTTTTAACTCATTAGCAACAAAAGTTATCGGACTAAATTATAAATACAAAAGTTGTTTAAATAGCTATATTTCATCATTATTTGATCAATCCATTATTGGTGATCAGCTGAATTTAATCCTGACGCTTCAGTTATTGTTAACACTAGTTGCTTAGATCTTTTACTTTTTCTCTTTGTGATAAATATATACTCTATTTTACTTGTTCATTGATAATTCCCTAATAGCATACTTTCAATTGACTATTGTGAGTTATAAAATCTTTATTTAAAAACTCATATACAACTAAAATATGCTGTTTAATTAATGAAAACCTTTTTTTCAATAATTTCATTTTAAGAAATACATTTTATTCTGGCCAATAACATTCTTTATTTTAATAGTTGAGTTCATTAGTTAATTCAAGCTAGATTGCCATGGAAAACTTGCAAACACTGGACAACCGTTTCATCCTAGTACAGGACTCCTCAGCAGTGCCGATGCCGCTCGCGGAATTCCAACCCAGAAACTATCGATCTCTCGCGCGTGACCACGTAATCTGTAAACCAATGAGTGTTAATGTCTAACTTCAACCAATCCACTCAATTGTGCCACTGTCTTTATTTTATTTTAAATAAAAATTACTTTTAACTAAGTTGGGTTTGTATCATGATCCAAAATATAGTTAGTTTCATACTAATTCTAA